CATCTCCTTGTGGGTGAGTCAATAACATGTGGCTTGGAGAGGAAAAGGGTGAAGCCATTTGCCAAGGTTCCTTATTAGTGTTCATCTAAGAATAGAGTTAATATGTTTTAATGCCCTGAAAAAGAACAATATTGAAGATTTAGAAGAAGAAAAAGTGCTCTTCATCTTCAGGTACCATCTGGGAACTACTGCATAAGTTTTCTGAAGAGTTCCTGAAATGTACTGTCATAATAGATAAAATCAAATAAATGGGAAGTTAGGAGATGGGCTAGTAGTAGCTTACCATCCTAAATCTTCCATGCCTTAAATACAGTCTGATATATGTGTACCTAAATCTTTAGGCATATGGATTCTAGGCCCCATAAGGGAGACATGCTGAGATGAGGAAAAGTTTGAGGAACAGAATGGAATGGGAAGTTGCTGGTTTGGGAAGACAGTTTGAAAAGCCAATCTGTTCCTATTTGCATGATGGAAGGTAATAGAATGATGATGGGAACTGATAAATTCAGAGTGATCAAGGTTAATTGCAATTACTTTTAAATCTTTGAAGAATCATCTTTGAAAAGGCTCCTTGCATTTTGAGCATTTCCTAATTTTTAGGAAAAATTAAAGAACACAAATATTAACAATAATTATTTGTTTTCTAAGTGCTTTACAGAATATTGGGAACTCTTCCACCCACTGTCTTAGTTTATCATCAGAGATTGGTATGAGATTTAGTACAACTCATCCATTGCCATTCTTTAGGCAATGAGAAAAGGGAAACCAACGTTGTACACACATATAAGTGTGCCATATATATCGTGAGAAGAGACTCCTTTGTGAACATGAAATCTATTCTCTTATTATTTCTTATTACTGTCATGGCAGAACCAGAACACTGGCTCTTAATGCTGTTAATCTGAATCCCACTGTGACTGCAGAAGAAAACAGACATTGGTGCTAGGAAACCCAGCATTTCCCAGGTTTCCCACTTTACTCCGAGGCCACAGGTTTACATCTGACCGAAAATCTGTTGGCAAGTCAAAAAGAAGAGTTCCTGTAACAAAAGGTCACAGTGCATTCTTAACCCTTTTGGATAAATAGCTCTTGCTTAAGTCCAAGCTTGCCCAAGTTATTTGTTTGTTTGTTTGTATTTATTTGTTTGTTTTCCAGTGTTTTGTGCTGAAGCCGGCACCAGAAACATGTACCCTGCCTTTTCACCTATGTCCTTCTGTTTCTTATCACAAAATCCCTTCACTTCACAGGTCTTCCTTAAAAATTAAGAAAAACCATTACGCGCACACACACAAACTCACAAAACTCTTCCTCTTCTGCACAGTCAGCTTAATGCAATATACAAAAACAATATGCTCAATATATTTGAGCACCTGAGTGCTCTTTCTCATAAGTCCATTTTCTCAAATGCTAAATGAAATAATGTCAGATATTCCAAATATGTTCACATTATGCCCATTCATTATGTTTCTGTCTCCACGTTTGAAATCTATGGGCGAAAGGACGGAACTTTCAGTTTGCTAAAGAAATGTTAAAGATTTTTCTCTAATTAAAAAAAAAAAAACCGTGTAGTGTGAATATAGGATGAAGAGTTCATAGATGGCACTCAAACACTCCATCTGAATACACAATTCTCCCCAGTGTCCTCAAACATTTCTCCATCTAATTTCACATTTGTGCCATCTACCACTAACTGACTAGAAATTCATGAATCTGTATTTAGAGGGGGCAATACAACAGCCTGTCCAGCTTCCTATAGCAGCAGGAGTTAACAGACTACAGATTTTCTTATTAACAATTTGGTACTTTTCAAATAAATTATAAGGCAAAACACAGTATCTTTATTTGTTATAATTGCCACATGCTTTTTTGGTCTTAAATGATTTATAGTAAGATCCTATCAAAGAATCTGTGTTTGTGACCCAGTATCCTTGTGGGCCCCATCTCGGAGTTTAGCACCCAGCAGCAAGGTTTCTTTCTTAGTCTAAGGGTGTCCCTTTTCTATTAACTCATAACCTTGGCTTCTCTCCCACTTCTTGCTTTTCCCACAGCATTGCACTCATCTGTTTACAAAACAATACTATACCTAAAGACGTACCTCAGTGATTCTCAGGCTTTGGTTTGCATCAGAATCACCTGGAGGGTTTGTTAAATCACGGAACACTGGGCTTCAACTCAGTAAATCCTGATTCAGTACGCTGGGGCTGAAACCTAATAATCTGTATTTATTACAAGTTGTCGTGTGCAGCTGATGCCACCAAACCACGCTGTCTAAGCCACTGAATATATATTTAGCACAGAAGACAATACCTGGGTCAAGTGAAATGCAGTTCTCTTAAGTAATTGTGTTGGTTCTGGAAAGTTTTTATCTTTTATCTTACTTCTCTTACTTCTGTCACAATACCAGCTTGAACAGATAGGTATCTCTTAGCTAATTTGTGCACTAACAACTTTTTCGTGACGTACTTCCATACTTTTCCTACCAATCAGAACTCACTCACCCACACACTCACGGATCTCCAAGTGTCTTGCTCCTTCTTTCTGTTCTGCCCTGTCTCCAATTCTCCCCTCCTCAGAGAGATTTCACCTAAACTCTGAACTGAGAATCATATGCCCTTCTGTTTGCATATTGTTTTATTATATTCACATATTTGAAATATCGATTCGTGTTTCCCTTATTACTGGGATCTTTTTTTTTTTATATTTATTTATTTTTTTATTCTTATGTTAATCCCCATACATTACATCATTAGTTTTAGATGAAGTGTTCCATGATTCATTGTTTGTGCACAACACCCAGTGCTCCATGCAGAATGTGCCCTCCTCAATACCCACCACCAGGCTAACCCATCCTCCCACCCCCCTCCCCTCTAGAACCCTGTCTGTTTTTCAGAGTCCATCGTCTCTCATGGTTCGTCTACCCCTCCGATTGCCCCCACTTCATTCTTCCCCTCCCGCTACCTTCTTCTTCTTTTTTTTTTCTTAACATATATTGCATTATTTGTTTCAGAGGTACAGACCTGAGATTCAACAGTCTTGCACAATTCACAGCGCTTACCAGAGCACATACCCTCCCCAGTGTCTATCACCCAGCCAACCCATCCCTCCCACCCCACCCCCCACTCCAACAACACTCAGTTTGTTTCCTGCGATTAAGAATTCCTCATATCAGTGAGATCATATGATACATGTCTTTCTCTGTTTGACTTATTTCACTCAACATAATACCCTCCAGTTCCATCCACGTCGTATCTTATTTATATCTTGTGTCTAGAACAGTGACTTAGATGGTTTAATTACTGAGTGAAAATGAGGACATTTAAATTGGAGAAAACAAAGTAGATTACAAGAGGAAAACCAGAAATGGCCATGATACCGGAAATTTTTAAACTTAAACTAAACGTTTATTTACTTTAGATGTAAGGATAAGGATTGTGAATGTCTTGATCTGTTTGTTAATAGCTGGCTTTTGTTTTCACCTTCAAGCGACAATATCCAGAGTAAAAGATACTTAGAATTATTTCCAGTCCCAGATCCTCCTTTAGGATTGATGTGACTTTAGTAAAGATATATAGATGAATTCTTAAGGATTAAGTTTCTTAATCTGGAAAAACTGATCTGCTAACTTCCAAGGGTCCAGATGCTTTAAAATCAAATATCTGAAAGTGTTTTTGAAACATTTTGAAAAATACTGTAAATGAAATACGAAAGGAATAAATTACACTTGTATTTTTACATGCAGAAGAAAAAGTGACAGAATTCATTATTATGTGGAGCTACTTTTCAAAGAAAGAGGAATGCTGGATTATTTTCCAAGACATATGAGAGAAAAGGTGATAAAATGAGAGAAAATCAGTATCATTGGAAAAAGACAAAACAAAACAAAACTCTGAAGAGACAGGTAAGAAAGATTCCTAAAAATTAAGTTGTCCTTGTTGGTTATTATTCTTCAGTTTTGTACTCCTGGGAAACTCCAAAAATCTCCTTTCTTTATTTATGATTATGAGGGAAGGCAAAATGTTTTCTGACAGTGCTTTGACTGGGTTCTCAGAAAATGGAACTCATGATGTATAACTATGGGAAGAAAACTGAGATGACAGGAAGTGAAAGAGGAGCCGAAGTTCAAGGGAGAGAACACGAGAAAGACGCAAGATACAGTCTCAGATTATTGTATTTTTTTTTCAGAAATCTCTTTATAAGTGGATCTAAATTCTGATTCCTTCACACATAAGTATCTTTTTCTGATTTCTGTATGTTCATCAGTATAATGCTGAATAATGCTGAATAATTACAGGTAAGCTACAAGGTAACTGTTTAATCTTCTATGAATTGAATCATTCTATTTAATGTTCCATATGCACAGTTCAATTGGAGAATAAATTGTATTTGGAAAAATATCTAAAATTTTTCCACAGCTTGACATTTTAAACCATATGGGTGATAAGGTTGTAACTGTGTGCTCACACAGGTGGGCTGACATATTAAAGGGAATTATTTTGTATTGTCTTAATTATAAAAGAAGATGTCAGTCTGCAAACTTTGGATATTCACCACACTGAAGTACCTACTGAAAGGCAGTGTGAAGGGGAACTTGACAGGAAGTGAGGAACCTGGCCTCTGCTCCCAGATTAGGCACACTCACTACATAGAGACTTAGAGTTCATGTCTCAAGAGGTAGAGTGAAGAGTTAGGATCAACACTGTCTTGGTCCCTTTCCAGATTCACGTTTCAAATTCTGATTTTGTGATAATTTTTTTTGTACGGCTCCCAAGCCAGTCTCCCTATGCATGCAGCATTTCCTTTAGTAATTCAAACTAACCTTTGTTTAAGGGCTCCTTATCTGTGATCCCGGGGAAATGCCTCCACAAATCACAAGCCATGGTTGTCAGGGAAATACTTTGAGGAGTCAGTGAAAGATCTTGGTTCCTAGAGCAGGTTCTGACCCAGCAACTCCTTTGATTCCAGGGCCTGTGGTTGCACTTCTGCCTGGAGTTCTGCCCACCATGTCAGATTCCAACCACACCAGCACCTTCTTCTTCCTAGCAGGCCTCCCAGGCCTTGAGACTGTGCACAGATGGCTCTCCATCCCTCTGTGTGCCATGTATGTGGCCTCTCTGGCAGGGAACAGCCTGATCCTGAGGGTGGTGAGGTCAGAGCCCTCCCTGCACCAGCCCATGTACTGCTGGCGTGACTGACCTGGGCCTGTCTGCCTCCCCGCTGCCCACCATGCTCCCCATCTACATGCTGGGTCTCAGGCAGGTGTCGGTGGATGTGTGCCTGGCCCAGCTCTTCTTCATCCACACCTTCTCCATCATGGAGTCCTCAGTGCTGTTCACCATGGCCTTGGACCGTTTTGTGGCCATCAGCAACCCCCTGCACTATGGTACCATCCTCACGAGCCCCCGTGTTGCCAGCTTGGGCCTAGCCAGCATGGTGCTCAGCATCGGGCTCCACACCCCAGCCCCCATCATGCTGAAGAAGTTGCCTTACTGCCAGAGTCACCTCCTTTCCCACTCCTACTGCCTGCACCCAGATGTCATGAAACTGGCATGGGCAGAGGCCCACATCAGCAGTGCCTATGGTCTCTTTGTAGTGCTCTCCACACTGGGGTGGACTCGGTGCTCATTGTTCTCTCCTATGTGCTGATCCTCCAAACAGTGCTATCCATTGCCAAAGCTGAGCGCCTCAAAGCCCTCAACACATGTGTCTCCCACATCTGTGCTGTGCTGCTCTTCTACACACCTATGATTGGCCTGTCCATGATCCACAGATTTGGGAGGCAGGCTTCCCATTCCAACCCTGTGCTGTTCTCCTATCTTCACTTTCTCATACCGCCAGTGCTCATTCCAGTGGTTTATACCATTAAGACCAAGCAGATCCAGCTGAGGATGCTACGCTTCTTCGGGTTGGGTGGGGCTGGCATCAGAACCACTCAGGCTCAGTAGGTCTTTGGTAGAGAGAGAAAGGGCATGAGAGACTTTGGTCATAGATGTTTAACGAGCCATTTCACATAAAGTCCCATAGTGAGAAGAATGTAACAAGGAGACATCATCTTCATAGAAGTTCTCACTCGTGGGAAGAAATAACCACATTCTCATTTATTCATTTCTCATTATGCAAAGTTTCACTGAATACTTACTCTGTTAAATATACTACTATTGACTCTATAAGTAGAAATAGAACTAAGATATAGCCTCCATTTTAGAAGAAAGACTCATAATATTTAAGACTCATGAAGGGGACGGCCAATCTAAATGGAAAAGGAACTCGAAAGGATAACTTAAAGACCTTACAAGTGTATAAAAATGCACATAGTACTTTGCCTCAGAGTTTAGGAGAAAGAATTTTTGGCAACTGGGGTGATAGCTATATTTGGAATTCAGTGATATTAGAAGCATTTTGGAAAATCCCCACTAAAAATAATCCCATGAGGAAAGTCATTCCTTCTCTCTTGTAAACCACTGCATCCCCTTTCCTAAATGTAGCCCTTTCTATACATTAGGTATTTTGTTAGTTTTTGCAGAATAAAAGAATAAAAGTGTCTTCCAGAAGCTCTGTCTGTATCTGCACTCTCTGTGAGTCTTCAATAAAGTCTGCTCTCACTTCCTCTCAGCTCCTGTTTGATTTCTATCCTGCATGAAGTGAAGGACCCCTTTTGGCTGATACTGTGGGACCCCTCTCTGGGTCATGGAAACCAGCCAGCTGGCATAACTTGCAAGGATGAAATGTTCATGGGCAATGAATGTGATTCCAGATATGTGAGAACCAAGCCTATGAAGACGTCTTAATTTCTCCTTTAGAGTATTCCAGGATTTTTGCTGTTTTTCTCATCTTTTCAATGTAAATTTCAAAAATGGTAAGGTTATCTAGCTCTTAAACTGCAAATATCTCTGGCTAGAGTTACCAACACATATTTTTAATAATAAGAATGAAAAAAAATTTCAAGCAGTATTCTCTTAGCTGTAATTTTTTTTCTAAAAATCTCATCAGTCCTGAGCACAACTATAAATGAAAGATGCTTTGAAAATAAAACAGGTGAATTTTATTGCGATAGCCCTTGCACTGAATGCCGTGGCTATTTCTTTGTATATACTTCATAAAACCTTCCCTTGTAGCGTCCTCACTTATATCAGATTAAGAGGGAAACTTAGAGATACAGTGGGGGACGAAGTAGCAAGTGGATGGATATTGTGACACAAAATAGAGGAAAAAAATTATAATTTTGAAAAATCTAATATAAGTAAAAGATTAGCAGACCAAGGATTAAGTAGTCTCATACTATTTACTTATTTCTTGACACACTACAATATATACTATAATTGGAATTCATAATGATGAAACAAAATCTGAATGAGAAGCCCAAAACAGAAGGTATTTCTTTGAGTGACATGTTCTAGGAAAACATCCATATTACATGTTTAGTATAAACAAAAAATTTCTGTTACTTAAGGATATCTACTTATCCGTCTGTCTGTAATAGCCATAATTAATAGTGCTAAATCAATGCAGAATCACTAATTACTACATGTTGTTGCTGAATATGCCTGTTTCCACAATCTATCTCAATTTAGGCTTTTTTTTTTTCCTGATTTTAATAACTGGGTAGATGATGGCACATTTTACTGGCACTATAAATAAAGATGGTTAAGAAAATGAAGAATTCAATTCTGTATATGTTTAGTGTGAGTTTTCTGTAGGTAATTAAACAACTATGTACAACAAATACCTATATAATTCTGAAACTGAGGAAAAAGATCAGAGCTTTTTACACAGATATGTTAATAATTAGTATATAGGTGATAGTTAAAACAGCGACAGAGATATTACTGTCCAAGGATTTAAAGGTAAGAAAGAATGAGCAGTGGTCAGAGAATAAAACCATAGGGAAATCAAGATTAAGAGAGAATGAGAAAGTATTTAGTTTTAAATGGACTCAGGGGAGGATAAAGGAGTAGAGAGATTGTTCCTTCAGAAGGCTCATACCAGACAGTTTAAATAAGATAAGCTCTTTTCAACTATTTAAAATACAAAAGTAGTAGTAGCTATGGAATGGGGGTAAATGTTCCTATTAGCACTCTACCCTGAACTGTAGAATCCTGTCCATAGAGTTTTCCCTGGGTGCCTTTAGGGCCTCATTACTGGTTCAACAGCTGCGCAGAAAAAAAGATTCTCAGAAACTAAATTTCTACAACCAAATAGCTGGACAACAGGGAGACTAAAGGAAAAATTTTCATTGTTCAAACCTCTAAATATAACCACAAATTATCTAATAGTAAAGTGCATGGACTGTGTGATTTGGGGTGATTAGTCATTATTGAAACTGAAACTGGGAGGCAGAGAAGTGAGATTCACATGGTGAACAAAATGACTTGGATCTATAGATCTATGTCTATATAGCCAGAACAGAGGATATATGGTGTAGATATTTAGATTTCCCTCAGACATACATTACAAAAAGTTTTCAGATAATTCCCTCCAAGTGGATTAAGAATTAGCATATATTCTCTTTGTTTCTGAATACATTACAAAACTAGCAAAGAGAACCCAAGACACATTGACAAGAGCTACCCAAGCTAACAAGTAAGGAAATAGCTGAGATTTTTTTGAGTTGTCCTTCCAGAAGCTGTACCATAGACACTCATTGTAAGAAAGAAGATAGAGAATGAAAGCAGAAAGAGCTGTGCAGGAGTATTAGACAAGAAGGTAATATTTATCGCTCTATAGCCTGAGACAAGCAAACTAGCTATTTTCCCAATAAGTATAATATTTGCTTTGAAAAACTTTTTTTCTTCTCCTTTTCTCCACCTTCACATAGGCACAGGACAAGTCTGAAATTTCATATTTTAAGATCCATTAGGCATTCTTAGTCATAAAACATTAGAAGACTGAGTGTAATAACTAGACTCTGGGAAAAGAAAGCATATAAGGTGATTGAAGACATACCTGTTTTTTGGAAATGTTTTTAAAAATTACTTTAAAAAGCAATTACTTTAAAGTTGGTTAATATTCAAATTGTGCTTAAATAGAGAAAGCATTCAACAAAAACATTGTTTTTTTTTTTTTTATTTTAGTTATTTGGATGGAAGAGAACAGCTAGAGAAGATCTATTGAGAATACGGCCACTGCTCTGTTCCCTATGCCTGGAATTTAAAAATTATGAACAAATGATCTGTTATGGAGTTAAATTAAATAATGACTGATATAGTTCTGAACTGCATGTCACATGAATTATATGACAAACTCAGAGAGTCAATCACCAATTATTGAGCAATTAAAGAAATGGCAAAAAATACTAAGTAATTTATAAATATCTCTGTATTTTTCAAATTATGGAAATCTAATAATTTTTTATTTTTAGGTGAGAAACCGAAGCTTAAGGATATTTAGTAATTGATCACATAGTTAGAAAGTGGCACAACTGGGATTTGTAATAGGTCAATTTGAATCTGAATCTGATACTTTTAAAAATTATATTGCCAATCCTTTCAAACTCTTCCCAAAAACTGAAGAAGGGGGAACGCTTCCTTACTCATTCTGTGAAGCCAGCATTACCCTGCTATCAAAGTCACACAAAGACATTCCAAAAAAAGGATATTACAGACCAATATACAGGCATGCCTCCCTTTATTGTGCTTCACTTTATTGCACTTTGCAGATAATGAGTTTTTTACAAACTGAAGGTTTGTGGCAGCTGGAAGTTGAGTTGTTTTTATTGTAGCTATAGATATGAGAAACTATTGTTTTTTATTTGTTCTTTATTCTTCTTTACTCCCCTTTTGACTTTAGCTTTTCAATGTATTCCTCCTTAGAGAAAATCTATATTTTACAGACCTTTTGGCTGTGATCGATTGTTATTTTACTGGACCCCTGTTAGGTTGCTGGTAAGGGATGGTGGGTTGTAGAGAGCAAAATGGAGTCTCTCATGTCAAGCAGGGGCCTGTGTCAAGTAATGATGCAAGCAGTTAAGGTATTGCGAATGAGAGGAGGTCTGTAGAGACCCAAAACTGATGAAATCCCCTTAAAAAGGGAAGGATTTTGGGCACCTGGGGGGCTCAGTTGGTCATGCATCTGCCTTCAATTCAGGTCATGATCCCAGCTGGGGTCCTGGGATCTAGCCCCACATCTGGCTCCCTGCTCAGCGGGAAGCCTGCTTCTCCCTCTCCCTCTGCCCCTCCCCACCCTTGTATGCTCACTCTCTTCTCTCTCCCTTCTCTCTCTTCTCTCTCAATCTCTCTCTCTCTCCCCAAAATAAATAATTAATTTTTTTAAAAAAGGGAAGGATTTTGGCAGCAAACTGTCAGCCTCTTCAGACCTTACCCCCTTATGTCTGACCACTTAAAAAAGGCTGCTCCTGCCGTGGAAGGCTCTGCCTGATCCATCTCCGAACAGAACCAAGATCCTTCACTGCTTGATCACCAGAAGCAGTGACGGCCAAGAGCTGACCCAGACCAGACCGAGGCCTTATCTCAACTGCATGCCCACAGACTGACTTCATGTTTGGTTCCTTAACTTCCTACACCCTTCTGTTATCTTGTTTGTTGTGTGGCTTGTCTTCTGTCCTGCTCTGTGTGCTGTGTAAAAAGCCAAGTTTAATTACATGGTGAATTGTCATTGAGTTTGGAATGCTGAACCTGCTTTATCATTGTGATTTAACTTTGCTTTATGATTGAATAAAGCTGACATTGTGGAAAGACACAACTCCTGTGTGCACCTTGATAGCGTGCTCATGACATGGGTGGAGGAGGAAAGCATACAATAATCTTCTTCTTTTTATTTTATTATGTTATGTTAGTCACCATACAGTACATCATTAGTTTTTGATGTAGTGTTCCATGATTCATTGTTTGCGTATAACACCCAGTGCTCCATTCAATATGTGCCCTCTTTAATACCCATCACCAGGCTAACCCATCCCCCCAACCCCCTCCCCTCTAAAACCCTCAGT